CGACACCTCATCGCTACCTTGGAAAAAAAGAATAGGAAGGCCAGGCTCGGCGGCTCAGCCTGTAATCCCGCGCTTTGGGGGGCCGAGGTGAGCGAACAGCCTGAGCCCGCGGGTTCGAGACCCGCCTGGGCGACTTGGCGAGACCTCGTCTCTACAATCAATCAAAAATCAGCCGGGCGTGGTAGCGCGCGCCTGTGGTTCCGGCTACCTGGAAGGCTGAGGCGGAAGGATCGCCGGAGCCCGGCGGGTCGAGGCTGCGGTGGCCGGGAGCGTGCCCCTGCACTCCAGTCTGGGCGACAGAGTGAGTCTCCAACTCAAAAAAACAAAAATAGCCAGGTGTGGTGGTGCGTGCCTGTGTAGTCCCAGCTACTCAGTAGGCTGAGACAGGAGGATCAGCGGAGCCCAGGAGGTCGAGGCTGCAGTGAACTGTGAGTGTGCCCCTGCACTCCAGCCTGGGCAACGGTGAGACTCTGACTCAAAAAAAAAAAAGAGAGAGAGAACATCGAATATATAGAATGGTGCAGTGATGCAGGTCTCGGAAGCACACGAAGGAAGCAGTTACTCTTCAGTAAAAGGTACCTCCCTGTCCCTGAAACGGAAGGACGGTGGGTGTGCAGATGGCTTGACCCTCCCGGTGAAGACAACGTCACCCTGCTGACACAGATGAGAGGAGCGTGGGAAGAGAACTCGGCGTCCCGTCACAGGACGATGAGCCAGCGCTCACATCATATACATGCACTGTTTTAGTCCTCATCTCTTATTTATCTCTCCCGGTGAATTGCAGAGTGCCTGGTGCCTACTGTTCAATGAAGTTTTAACGGAGTGGAGTTGCACAGCACTTTGCCATATTAGGGGAAGGAGGGTTACAACACTGAGTAGGTAGAATGAGATTTCTAGTAGGTTGTACTTATTCTTACTGGAAATTCTGCCATGGCTTCAACCAGTATATATCATTTTTGTTTTTGTTTGTGAGTCGGGGTCTCATTCTGTTGCCCAGGCTGGGACTACAAGGTGCATGCCATCACCTCTGGCTAACTGTTTGATTTTTTTTTTTTTTTTAAGAAATGAGGTCTCATTATGTTGGTAAGGCTGGTCTCGAACTCCTGGGCTCAAGCAATCCTCCCACCAAGTCTCCCAAAGTGCTGGGATTACAGGCATGAGCCACCACGTCCAATTCAGTATATCATTTTTGAATACCATGTGTTAGGTCGCCGTGTAGGTACTGGGGATATGGCGAACGATATGGTGAGCAAGATGGCATGTTTACCTGTGATGAAGAAACCAGTTATATGCTTGCCACAGTCATGTTTGTGAGGTTTTATTTAGAGGACTGGATGTCCAGTGGGCTTTTTCTGACATTCCTGCAGTCAATAATGCCTCCCTGCTTACTGAAATCTCAGCTGCATAGACACTGTACCTCTTGATTGCGTCTCCGGTGGTCTCTCGGGGTCCTCCCCTGCTCCCTGTTACACACTGTGCAGTCCTCATGAGCCAGCTGGTCCCCTTTGCTTTGACCCCTTTGCGCAGGTTTCAACTGCCACTTCACACAGACAGCCAATTTCTCTGAGCTCCCCTCCAACACCACACACTCTGACCTTCTGTTAATTGCATTAGAATGCCACGGCTCATGCCTGTATTCCCAACACTTTGGGAGGCCAAGGTGGGAGGACTGCTTTGAGTCCAACATAGCAAGACCTCGTCTCTACAAAAAATACAAAAATTACCCAGGCGTGGTGGCATGTGCCTGTAGTCTCAGCTACGCTGGAGGCTGGGACAAGAGGACTGCCTGAGACCAGGGGTTGGGCCGTGGTGGTGGTGAGCCGTGATTGTGCCACTGCACTCCAGCCTGGACGACAGAGTGAGACCCTGACTCAAAAAAGAAAAAAAGTCTCACTTTTTCACCTCTTCTTCAAACTTCAAACTCAGAGTGTCTAAAACTCAGTCCACAGCCGGGCTCGGTGGCTCAGCCTGTAATCCCGTGCCTTTGGGAGGCTGAGGTGAGTGGACTGCCTGAGCCTGCGGGTTC